ATTGGGAGTGAGATTCTCCAAGGTTTTGTGGTTGATGGGCTTGTTCAAAAATGTACTGGGAGTGAGACTCTCCGAGGTTTTGGGGTTGATGGGTTCGTTCGAAACCGTAATGGGTGTCTGAATCTGGGGTGGTTTTGAAATGGTTTGCAATTGAACTAGAATCATGGGATCTGTAGTGGTAGAAATTTATGGACCTCAAACGCTGGAGAACAGATGGTGATCTAGCAAGCTTGGGTTGTTGAGGATGAAGATCATTTTGGGAGTTTTGCTGGTGCTGATGGTTGTGGTGCTGTTTCTGGTTGGCTAAAGTCGAAATAATTGCAATGGTACCAATCATAAGATTGAGGAGAACAAAGAGAACAGCAGGAGTAAACCAGCTGTTCATGGATGCCCAGATCGAAGGTATAGTGATTGACACAGATTCCTCAAACATCGTGCAACTTTTGTTCTTCAGAAATGGAGAAAAAAAACAGTAGAGTAAAGAGGGTTGAGTGGGAGGGAGAGTGCCAAGATTTTGTATAGTGGAATGCAGGGTTGGAAAGAGAGCAGCAAAGATAAAAGCAAGAGAGGAGAACAGGAGAGAGAGAGAGGGAGGTGTGAGTGGTGGGCTGCTTAAGGGGGTTTTATAATTAATTTTTTTTTTTTTGAAGTGCAGGAGACAATTATTTCATTTTAGGGGCCTGATCTTTCTGAATAATTTAATTTGATGGGTTGTTTGTTTGTGATTTTTTAATTTGGAGTATCTTAGGGGTTGAATCGTGGATGAAGACGTGTCAAGAGATTCAAGACAAGGAGGTGGAGGATGTGGAAGAAATGGACAGAATAGATGAGGTGGGAAAACAGTAAATGAGAGGTTCTTGTTGGATTGGATTTAAGAAATACTGAAGAAGAAGAAGAGGGCATCAACTGATTTAAAGAGATAAAAGACGACGCCGTGCTGACACTGGCCTGCAGTACAGCAGCAGCAGCAGTAGTAGTACTGACTGTTCATTGCTGGACTGCCTGAACATGGACTCGACTGGATGGTCTGGCAAATACAGAAAGAAAGCTGATTATTAGATCTTTGTTTAACATAAAACTGAAAATGGTAAATGGTTTTAGTTTTTAGATATTAATACTACTGCTATTATGACATGTCTTATGTTTGTTCATGTACTTTACTTTTGTGGAGTGTTGGGTTCGGAAGTTTTTTTTAGAAACTAGTGGAGAGATTTGTCTATAGATTCCTGCGTTGAGAAAAAAGTACCTTCTAAGGCACTGAACAAGTGCTGCTTTTATCTGGTTCAGTTTGTCTATTTGTCTAATTAAGAGTGTGTTAGTTGGTCTGCTTTCATCTGGTTTAATTTGTCTAATTGTCTAATTAAGATCGATTGGTGACCACCTATTTAGTGATGGAGAAAAAATTGCTTGCTTTAGTTTATAGCTCCTTTTTTTGGGTTGTTGAGGGTGTAGGATAATTAAAGCTCTTCTTTTTGATTTCATTGACTGGAGATAATGGACTGTGTATAATCAGCATTTATTAGTAATTATTATTATTGTGGACTTTTATAGTTGTTGTTATCTTTTCTGCTTTTCTATTGTATATCATCATGACCTCAGTTGTGTACAAAAAGAAGAAGACATGTACAACCGCCGACAAAATTTTAGCATTATTTTAGCATATTCTCAAATTTTTTTCCACAACAACATATAAACTCAAGTTCCTTACAAGACTTGCAGATTCACCAATCACCGGGCTGACTAATTGAATCTCCGGTCCGTTCGTTGGCAAGTCAACGATTTAATTGCTTAAACGATTCAATTAAGGATCCAGTTCGGCTCAATTGCTGATTCATCAAATTGATCGATTAAACTGTCAGACCGAACTGTGTTTAATAACACTGCATTGTACTAATCGGTTCTCATTTCTCCCAATTTACTAAATTAATTATCTTGTTTATTTGTTTATATATATTACCTTCAATTTGTTCTTGCAGATGCCATCATTGAATTCTTCATGCCAGAGCAGCTGTAACCGTTTTGGTTTTGTGGTTCCCAAAATGATTTAGCCTGGAAGCTGTCAAATATAAAAATGGCAAATGGAGGATCTTCTGAGTTCTGACTGATTTCCTTGCAGGATTCCCGATTAAAGGCCAGCAAACCAAATTGACCCAAAAATATTGACGCCAACTCAGATGCATTAAAATATGAATCAAAACCAGTGTGAACTCTGGACACTAGACCACGAGGAAAGATGGATAAAAGGAAAAAAAAAAAAAAGAAAAAACTTGAGATATTTAAATTTGATGATTTGGTTGTAGAGATGGCAAATTTTGCAAATTGCAAGTCGTCTACCATGATTTTGACCACACCCCCTTTGTGTCTGTATCTGCATCAGTAATTGACAGAATTAGTAGGTTCTAACAAGGCACATATAAATCGTTTAATCTCCATATTGGGATAAAAAGTTTGTACAACTAGTGTGTTTCTTGAAGAAAATAAACAAAAGAAGCAAGAGAAGGATATAACAGATGTCTTTTGAAGACCTTCTTAGCCCAACAATGTATACACTGCTGAAGGTTACTTCTTTACAGTTGGTTTTAAGCCAAGACTAAACCAGAAGCAGAAGTCAGAAGTGAATGAAAGAGTAGTTTTTGACTAATACTTAGAAAACAGGCCTTACCGCATGCATGTTTTCCATGTCTTCAAAAAGCTTTGCATTTATATTACTCCCAAGACTTTAAGATATCTCAAAATCCTAATCAGACGCTGGTAGATGATATTAGTGTTGGCGAAAGTTTTCGGGTTTTGCGGATGTATACTGCTATAACTTTTGATCCATGCGTGCGTTTCAATTTCTTAGGTTTTGAGAGCAGCTGTGCAAGGTACTTTCCTTTATTTTATTTGTACATTTTTTTTGGGGGGGCGGTTGGAAATAGGGGTGCCAATGGGTCGGGTTTAGACCCGGATCCAATAAATTTTTCCGGATGTCGGTTGAAAAATAATTCCGATATCCGAACCCAGATCCAAACCGGTTTACTCTAACAAAAAAATGGGTCAGATACGGAATATAGGATTTCGCCCAGTATTCGACCCAGATCAAAACAATATATTAATAATTATAAAATATAAATATTTTAAAATACATTCTTTTACCAAATTAACAATTTAGTAATGATTTTGTAATTTGATTTATGGTTAGTTTTGGATTGACTATTGCGAGTTATTTGTGATTTAGGTTTTTAATTTGATTTGTTTAAGTTTTGAGATTGAATTTGTAATTGGTTTTGGATTTAATTTTGAAAAATTTAAAATTGAACCTTTTAGACCCAATTCCAGAACTCTAGGATCAAGATCCATCTAGTTTACAGGTCGGATTCGAGTCTACTACATTAAAACGGGTCCAGGTCCGGAATTTTTAATTTCGACCCGAACCTGACCCATTGACACCCCTAGTTGGAAAGCAACTATTGCCTAATTACGAAGAAACAAGTCTATAATGAAAGGTTTAAAGCTAACAATGACCTAACAATATTGAAAAAAAAAAGACAAAATAATTCGATGATTATCAATGATTAAGTTTTTAAAACGAGAAAGGAATGATTTTTTCTTTGTTTAGATCATTTTCTTAATCAAAGGTAGTAAAATTTTATTTTATTTTTTGGTCAATATAACACTATTTGTTGACCCTACGTCTATTCTTACACCTTAAAGATGATCTAAACCATTGTAATTTCCATTTTCGTGCCATTAATTATTGAAAAGACAGTTAATTAGCGAAAAACATAAAAATTCATGCTTATGAATAAGAAAACTATTAAATCAACAAATAAAATATTAATTATTTCCTGTAGTGCAGTTTTTAGAAAATAATGATAAAATTTTACTATCTGACAATACAAAATGGTTTCTGATTAAATTTAAATAAGTTTAATCAGCTCCTGCATATTTTATTTTTTCCCATAGCGCCTCATCGGCTACAAAACAAAAGGCGCCAATATTTTGCCTATCGGAAACCCAATTTTTCTGGTTGTGCGTTAAAGGGCTAAATCTAGCGGTTACACTTAGAACATTTTTCTTATTACTACGGTCCAACCCAAAACTACGACTCAAAATGTGATAAAAGAATTACAGGCCGACCAGAGTGGCCTTTCCCTATCCATATCCATACCCATTTACAAGCGGCTTGGAGCCTGATCTAGAATGGGCTTGATAGGGTCAAAAAAACAGTGATGGACGAATGTGATCTTGGCATCTGGATAGAGTGAGCCCACAATATTTCTACATTTGAAAACAAACCAAGTGAGCAGCACTTTTCGTTTGCATAGGTTGAATATCTGTTTTTTTTTTTTTTTGAGGGTTGAATATCTGTTTGCATAGGTTGAAATATCTGTTTCAAATCAATTGAGCAACATTTTTATGAGTTTCCATATTGAATTTAAGTATTTCATTAGAATTAGGGTTAATTACATCAACTCTCCTCGTGGTTTGACCAAACTATCAATTAAGCCCTGAAGTTTGGTCCTCAAAGTCAATAAATCTCTAACAAAGAACCCTCTTCCATTAGTGAATCGTAAGTGTCTAGTTGTGAATTCACTTAGGGTGCGTTTGATAAAACCGAAATTTGAAAACTAAAGTCTAAAATTTGAAATTTGAAATCTGAATCTATTAAATTATTGAATTGTTAAATATTAAATTTAATATATTTGGATGCATATCACATTAAGTGATAAGTGAATAGTTTATTACTTAATTTTGGGAGCAAATTTTGCCTAGAAAATTCAGCGCCACTTAATTAATTTAGATGTTCAATTTTTTGTTATTAAATAATCTGAATATGTTAAAATCTGAATTCATTAAGTTTAAGTGCTGAATTTGGTTATTAAACAGGGCCTAAGTTAATAAAAAGTACACATTGAATGTCCCAAAATGTCAATACAAATAATTCATTGCACAACTAGATAAAAGCTGCTTGGACACTTTGCAAGTTTTCGTCGTCCTCCAAGGTGCTCCTCCACACGTGACTTTCTATTTGGTGGAAGAGATGGTCACCGTTATTTGCTCATTTCTTTAGCTCTGTTCTTTCTTTCCAGCTGCATTACTTTCTCATAACTCCTTTTTGCTATCTTCTTAATCTACTTGCTTTCAGTCCCACAACTCCCTGCACTTTATTGCTTTTGCCTATTATATTATTGATAATGATACCAGCTGAAGTTTTTTCCTCTTTCCCCTTGTATAAAAAAATTGCTGACCATCGTCGTGCTTGCTACTGGTAATCTTTTGTCTGTGGCTTTCTTCTGCATTCTTAACTTTTGTTTTTTGCTTACCATCTTTAACTTTAGCGCTTCCCACTTTTCCTTCCTGTCTTGCTCTCTCGTTTGTTTATTACCATTTTTATGGTCTATCATCTTTTTTTATGCTGCATTTAATATTTTATTGCTGTTATTATGCCTTTAGTGTGCTTGCTCCAAGCATTTGCCAGACACCCTTTTTCCTAAGCTCGGGATTCCCCCTTCTTAGAGGACAAATGCTTAGTAATCTCCTTGTTGCATGGTTGGAGGGATGAAAAAAAATATTAGTTTTAGAGAGCAAGGGAGCAAATCATTCAATGGGAAAAAAAATTTTCTTCATCTCTTCTTATACTGCATTTTACATGTTGCTGCTGTTATTATGCTTTTAGTATGCTTGCTTGAAGCATTTGCCAAAGACCCCTTTCCCCAGGCTTATGATTCCTTCCTGCTTAAAGGAGAAATCCTTAGTAAACTCTCCATTGTGTGACTTGGGGGAGGGGGGGTAAAACAAATAAATCAATTAAAAATATCAGCTTTCACACCAAGGGACAGCAGCATCTCAAATAGTGGGAAAAAGAAATTTTCCCAGTGGAATGAATTATGGGCTGGCTCTATCCTTAGTTTTAGGAAATCAAAACTTGTACCTGCTGTAGAAACCTCTTCTAATTCCTTTTTTTTTATCCCTAATTTTTGGGGACATATTTATTCTATGTGGTTTTCCCCTGCATTCTTAATACTAGAGGTGGCAAAATGGGCGGGATGGGCGGGATTTGCTTGGGTTTGAGATGGAACCGAGTCATATGGGTTTGGGCCCAACCTTACCCATATGTGTTTTGGGACTAACTTGGGCGGAATCATTTTGGGATGGGTTTAGATTGATCCCGCCCAATACCCAAATCCATTTTCTACATATTTTTTTTCCTTTAATTCATTTTTTATTTTTATATAATTTTTATATTTTTGATTTATTAAATTTCTTTTAGTTTTATTAAATAAACATGCAAGTGCTTTATACTCAAGATTCCCACCAAAAATTGGATTAACAAATAAAGGAAAAGATAGATATACAGCCATATTCCAACATATATCAAGATGGCCAAGGTCCTTAGGATGTTGAATATTTATCATTATCATTGTCCAAGGATGACAGGTCTAAACTAACTGAAATGGTGGAAATTCTTGTGGATAATGACTAGGAAGACTACTAGATTATATTCGCTGGTATGACTATAAAAATTGTTAAAGATAATTTTTGAATCTAAGATTCCGTTTGGATTGACTTTTTTTTCAAAAAATAAGTTTTTCAAATACAATGTTACAGTAATATACAATAACTCAAAAAACATCCCATCCATATTAATATATCAAATATTTCAAAAAAATTTTATAGTAAAAATTTTTCATATACACTGCTACAATAAAATATTTCAAAAACACCTACCAAAAACAGTTAATCCAAACGGAGCCCTTGCCATTTGAGCCCAATGGGTACCCAAGTATTTCCCATCCTTTCCCATTCATTAATGGGTATAGTTGGGATGTGTCCCAACTTAAACCCAATACCAAATTATAGTACCCATCCCGCCCAAAGTTCCTTTGGGCATGGGTAGCCCATTGGGACTTGGGACAAATTGCCAACTCTACTTAATACTCATCAGGTGAGTTGTATTGTTACCAGAATTTTTACTTCATAGTAATACTTATCAACCATTTCTGTTATTTTTGGGCTAGGTATTCTTTTCTTTTGGAGCTTACTGGTCCTGTACAATGTATTTATGTGCTATCTTTTTTATCTCATACATCTTTTAACGCTCAGTAAGATTTTATCTCTATGCTTGTTGTATATGTTCTGCCTCTATCATTTCCCTATGTCACTATGCTGCTTGACCTCCAACTTAATTTCATGCCCCTTAAATGTCCTTTTTGTAACCAGCTTTGTCCAATTTCCCTGCTTGTCTTGCTTTTTATTCTCAAGGCCATCGGTTATCATCTTACAGTTAGAGTGCATATCCTTTCCTTGTTCTTTATTTGTATTTTTTTCTATACAGTTAAGAGGTGAACAACATAAAATTTTTCAAAAATACCCCCAAAAATAGTTAATCCAAACATAATTATATTTGTCTACAGTTTTTACTAGGCTTTTTTGTGCTTACATATAGCTATCATCTCTAAGTAAATTTCGCTGCCTGTACCCATTATCGCCATATCATTTTGTAATGTGTGCAGAGGCATTTTCACCTCTATTTCAGGAGGTTGGCAAATGTGGTGTTTTTGCAGGGCATCAAAATTGGAGACGATGTACCTTCCATTTCTCACCTCCCAGTTGCTGATCATGATACTGTCTGTCTGCTATTTGCAAAGGCCTCAAAAGAGGAGGCTCAAGCTATTCTATCAATTCTTGACATTCAAGGAGCAGCTTCAGGTCAAGGAGTGAACCAGTTGAGGTGCGGCAAAGTATACTGGATTTGGAGTAAGGTGAGCGGGTGGAAGGAACAACAATTATCGGCTCCTGGTACAGCTACAGGATTCAGTTCGGATTGGAGACGTCTCTGGGACTTGGAACATGCCAAATACCGAAATGCTGCAGTGAAATGCTGTCTTGCTGAAAACCGTAGATGGGATGGAGATTTCAATATGCTGTAGTGACGTTGACAATTGATAAACTCATGTATGGGTGTTAAAAAAAAAAAAAATTCGTTCAATTTATGCTCATTGTCAACTTCTAACTTGAGCAGATCTGCCGTCATCAGAGTGATGTCAAATGGTTTTATGTGGCAACCCAGAGATGATAAAGATTCGATGCAGACCCAGAAAAATGGTCCCAAATTATGCTGGTTTACGTCAAACTTCGAATAATTAAAAGATCTTGAAACAATGTCGACATTTTCTCCAACTGTTCCAAAATGTCGACATTTTCTCTAGTTGCTCCAAACAGAGACAGAACTGGCACATTCAAATTCAACGATACTTACCAAAGTGAGTGCGACTGGGGACAGATGAGATGCAGCTCACCGGGCAAGCCTTTTATTTTTGATATGAAATAGAAGCAAAGGATTTACTCATCAATTTTGTTTGCTTTTGTTGAAAAGTTCAATGAACGTAGCAAGTGGCAACTCGCACAAGTTGCAATATTTTGTTTGCATGGACATGGAATCGAATCATAGCGCATGATAGAAGAAGACACCTGGGATTCCAGCTCCATGGCTGGTAATTCTGCTGTCATATTTTTGCAAGTGTATGCATGAAGGTTCTTAGATAGTACTGTCATGGCAATTGTGTCATGATGAATTTTCTTGTAATTTGTCGCCATTTCATTTCAGAAACGGTGCTTACTATTCTTCTTCTTTCTTTCTTTCTTTTTTTTTTTTTTTTTTTGGTGTAAGCAGGAGTACTTGAACCCGAGACCTCTCACTTACACTCCCTTCCCCCGTACCGCCCAACCCAACCCTCCCCCTTCTTCAAAGGAACAATTCCCCCTTTAAAAAATTCGTGGAAATATTCTCTCAGTTGTCCCTATTTTTACTTAACAATATGAATGATGGCTTGCTCAAAGAGGCTGATACCCAAAGTTTTACTTTTTTTTTTAATAAAAAGTGAATTTCATTAGTTAAATTGTTAGAAATTGTTCTGCACTGATTTAATTTACATCATATAAATCTGCATTAATGGTAGGACAAACATGAGGTAGAAATACCACATTTAATAGATATAAAGATCTAAAAAATTATGAACAACTCTAAGAAATACAAGAAATTTATCATTATAACTCCCTATTGTACATGTGACAATTATCTGATCAGCTAATCAACAATTTTACATTTCAATAATGATGATGAAATCTGTCGACATGGATCCAAGATTCAAACAAAAAAAATTTCAGATCTGATAATCGAATCTGAAATAAATTCAAATTTAATAACAAAATAAGAAAAAAAAAACTACAAAAAATCTCACTAAGAACTCTTACGACTCTCGTTAGGAACTTCTAAGAGAAATAAAGAACTTTCACTAAAAAATTTTAGAAGAGATTTTATTAGAAAAACAAAATAAAAATGGAATCTATGAGAGGGAGCCCATAGTCTCCTTTTCTAAGGTCAAGGCCTTTTCAAATAATATTTCGCTTACGTTATAAACACATTTTCCAATCTATCTTTTTATTTTTTTAACCACTTTTTTATCTCACATATATCATGTCATAAAAAATGCTACCGTAATTATTCTAAATAATATTTCAAATAAAATACTTTATCCAAACAAACCCAAAAGTTTTCAAAACTTTACTCAATCCCCTAATTTTGATTGGAAAGTTCCAACCTAATTCCTTTATATATGATTTGTCATGGCCCCTTTAAAAATCTTATTTACCTTTGAGGCATTAACGGGCGAGCTTTTTCCAATAGCTCAAAATTTATTTGCTTACATCATCATTACAATTTTCAACACACCTTTTTACATTCCCAATTACCTTTTTATCTCACATACATCACATCACAAAAAATGCTACAGTAAAAATATCTCAAATAATTTACAATCCAAACAGAGCATCAATGCTCTGTGCATGCAAGACATTGAATGCTGTTTACCCTTCTTGCTATTCTTGAAGGCGTTAAATAATTGTAGGTATCGTCGGCACGCTTAATATGGACCATTCTATGGCGGAAAATTTGAGTCGCTCTACGGGAGGAAGAATGAATGCTGAAATTTACGTATTTGACCGCTTTGTTTAGCGGACAGGTCAGTATGACACGATGATTGGCCTGACGGAATGCTGTAAATCAAAGATATACAAATCGCTTGACGAGACTTATGAGTTCATTCAGCGTACAGATTTATGGTGCAAAGTTACCTATCACTAAGCTTGTGTGCAAAATGCACGCGTTATAACATTATTACACAATGTAACACTAGAACAATAACGAATAACACTATAACAAATATTTCGTGAATCCCGCACATGTTTAAATCTGGACCATACAAATTTTGTTGGCCAAATCTGAGCCACCACCAACATAACCCATCAACTGACTCTACTGCAGCTGCACAGCTTCTTTGTTTCTTTGTTCCTGTCTTTTTTAAGTTTGGAATCTCCTGTATATTTTCTTTTTATAAACATATAATATAATAATTTAACATAAATATAATTAAAAAATATGTTCATCAAAAAAATAAAAAATTTTCTATAAAAAATTTTCTTTATGCCATCACCAATGATATCTAGGACTATAGATAGTGGGAAAAAAATATCAGAGGTAGGGCACAAATATAAAATATTTTTTTAGTTAGATAATTAAAGTGGACAAATTTTTATAATCAAGTATTGGGAATAATAATGGGTTTGTTTGGATAGGGTATTATTTGAAATATTATTTGGAATAATTACTGTAGCACTTTTTGTGATGTGATGTATGTGAGATAAAAAGGTGGTTGGAAATATAAAAAGGTGTTTGGATAGGGTATGCAAGCAATTTTTTATTATTCTTTAAAAAGTTTTTCAACAATTTTTTTTATCTCATATATTATGTGATGTGACAGGAGTGTTGTCATTTGATCTACACTAATGCGTATTCAACAACCGTTCACATCATCGCGTTGCGCGCTGTGCGTTGTCGAGATCTCTCTGCGTCTTCTTTTTCTCCATCATATCAAAGACGAATATTTGATCGATTTGCTTTCCCGCCGCTATTTTAGGCATCGGTTTAGTCTATTCTCATTTGAGGCTTGGTTACTTTTGTACGCAATGAAAAGAGGCCAACCACTGTTCTTGATTAGAACACGGCAAATTACGTGAACCATGTAATATATTTTAGGTAGGAATAATTTTGGAAACCTACCTTGTAGTTTCTTGACAATTTCATCTAATAATTCTCTTGAGGTTTTAAAAATTATATAAATATCTCCTTTCAAGTTATCATTTTGGTGGAAGAAAATATAAAGTGGTTAAAGTTTTGAATGAATAACTCAAAATGCTCTCATGAAATTGTGAAGTTCATTTTACTTTTCCAAAAGTTCTTTTTCCAAAAAAAAGGGAATATGTATAATATCATAAACCTACTTTCAACCCTCGTCTCTACCGTTCTATACCTTTCATGTTCTCAAATCAGTACTACCATTATCTCTATGACTATCACTACCATCAGTCTGTAAATTCTAAAACCTCAAGCTAAATGAAAAAAAAAATTAGCACTATTAAATTTTTTTTAAAAAATTCATTGACTACGTTAACATAACACTCTATCCCTCAAATGTTGAAGTACCAACGCCAGCTTCGTCCTTCTTAAACCCTTAACTCACATCTTTTTTCTATTCATTTCTAGATCTCCCAAGCAAAACTAAAATTAATTTATAATATATTTAAAATTATGTTTATGACATAATTGATTATTTATGAATGAACCCCGCTTTTGTTTCCATTCAATGTCTAATTGTGTAAAATCCATTCATAAACGCAAGATTAGAAGGTATTGATATATTAAAATTATTATGATCATTTCATAAGGTAAGGGGACCAAATGTAATATTAAAAACCTCAAAAATTTTAGGTGAAATTGTAAGAAACCTTAGCCGAAGTTCCACATCAGGGACTCCATTTTTCCATGGAGGCAATAATGATCGTGCTCCGATTAGTCAATTTTGCCTGTGAGAATATCCTACATATATATAATGAAGCACTTTTGCTTACTCTTCATGCCTTTGGTCCACTCTAGTCAAGAATGCGAAATTGTCAAAAACCTCGAGTAAAGTTTCATTTCAGGGAGCCCATTTTTTTCATGGAAGCAATAATGATCATGCTCCAATTAGTCACTTTTGCGTGTGAGAATATGCTACATAATTCGAAATGGTTTTTTGCTACTATTCTTGCCCTCGGTCCACTCCTTTTCGTCCGTCCCTTTGTAATGGTTTTTTGTAATTTCAGCAACACGATGTTCAACCATAATTGTGTCACACAACGGCTCCAACTTTCCAATACTTTGACTCCATGCCCTCATAAATTCTTTACCAACGTAAGTATTAGTTTGGCCAGCGGTCATTTCATTCCTGGTGCAAAACTGACATGTTCGAACAGCGATGCATGACCGACTTTCTTGAATTCAACATCGACGCACGACTGAGTGTAGCGCACTTTTTATGAATTTAAATTGATATCAACGAGCGAAGTTCCAATTTCTACTTAATTACCGTCAAACTTGTTGGTTCTTTTGACAACAAAATAAATGGAATTTTATTATATTCTTATTCAAGAACCCTTGATGTTTATCAAATGACAACAAAATAACCCATCAAGTTTCACTTTCCCTACTTCAATTTCTTGGGGCTTCACATAATTTCAACTTTTACCATCTTAGAAATGATTTAATCTAGGAAGACTCAATATCAAGTGTTTGGATTGGTATTATTCGCAAAAAAAAAAAATTTATTTGTTTGCATCAGAAATATGTTTTTCACTTTACATTTTCATTTTTTCAGTCACATTTTCATCTCATATACATCACATCATAAAAAGTATTATCATAATTATTCCAAATAATTACCTATCCAAACACATGAATTTTGGGATGCGGGAAGATCTCTATTCTAGAACTGGTAAAAAAAATTTCATTATAATCTCTACAAGAGTGTATTTACAACTTTTCATTGCTATGATGTATTTTAGGCTTTACAACATACTATGGACTCTTCTTGTGTTCTGCTGTTATTAATTTGATTTTCCTCAACGAATATATAAATATTTATTACATGATTATCTTAGGTATTATTCAATTATTGATAAACACATATCTAGCTTGTGTAATACATTTACAATTTTTTTCTATTCTATCCTCCAATTAAAATCAAGCCACCATGAACTCGCTAATGACACTTTTTTGGATGCACAGACAAATGGAAAAGTGCCAAATATATGTTTCCAACTACTTTTTTCAATTTTCATTATGCAATTAAATTGGTGTTTGTAACTTTCTTTCATTTATGTATCATATAAATTTAACCCTTTTCTGTAATACTCGTCTAGTAAAAATTTATCTTGAGCAAATATTCAATGAAATTATAGAGCGTTGATTTAGCACAGAGAGTGGAGAGGGCATAGCAAAAGTTTTAAGATGCAATTTTTCTTTTGTTTTTTTGGAAGAAAGGGGTAGGGTGAGGGATGCAATGTGGCCATCGAAAAACAAATTAATATTAACACTTAATTAATAGAGCTATATCTATTTATCAAAGTTTCCATGTCATAAAAGAAAAATTGGAATTGGGGGGAAAAATTGGAATTAGGGGGAAATAGATTTTTTCCCTTTTTCAAGTCTGTCCAACGAGCAATTTGTTCATCTTCTAGGTTA